CACTATTAATGTGTGGGGTTTTATATGTGATTTAAGCTTTAGTAATGTTTCTTTTACATATGTGGGTGCCCTTGTGTTTGGGGCATAAATATTCAGAATTGAGACTTCATCTTGGTGGATCTTTCCTGTGATGAGTATGTAATGCCCTTCTTGATCTCTTTTGATTGATTTTAGTTTGAAGTCTATTTTGCTGGATATCAGGATGGCTACACCCGCTTGTTTCTTAAGACCGTTTGATTGGAAAGTCTTTTCCCAGCCTTTTATTTTTAGGTAGTGTCTATCTTTGAATTTGAGATGTGTTTCTTGTATGCAGCAGAAAGATGGGTCCTGCTTTCGTATCCATTCTGTAAGCCTATGTCTTTTTATAGGTGAATTAAGTCCATTGATATTGAGGGAAATTAATGACCAGTGATTGTTCATTCCTGTTATTTTTTGGTGGTGATGTGTGGGTACTTCTATACGTTGGGGTTTACTGCTGTGGCTTTATCTGTTGCCTGTGTTTTCGAGGGTGTATCTGACTTCCTTAGGTTGGAATTTTCCTTCTAGTGCTTTCTGTAGGGCTGGGTTTGTGGATAAGTATTGTTTAAATCTGGCTTTGTCATGGAATGTCTTGTTCACTCCATCTATGGTGATTGAAAGTTTTGCTGGGTATATTAGTCTAGGCTGACATCCATGGTCTCTTAGTGTCTGCATTACATCTGTCCAGGTTCTTCTGGCTTTCAAAGTCTCCATTGAGAAATCGGGTGTTATTCTGATGGGTTTGCCTTTATATGTCACTTGGCCTTTTTCCTTTGCTGCTCTTAATATTCTTTCTTTATTCTGTACGTTTAGTTGTTTAACTATTATGTGGCGAGGGGACTTTTTTTGGGGGTCTAGTCTGTTTGGTGTTCTATAAGCTTCTTGTATCTTCATAGGCATTTCCTTCTTTAAGTTGGGAAAGTTTTCTTCTATGATCTTGTTGAATATATTTTCTGTGCCCTTGAGTTGGTATTCTTCTCCTTCTTCGACCCCTATTATTCTTAGGTTTGGTCTTTTCATGGTGTCCCAAATTTCTTGGACATTTTGGTTCATGACTTTGTTGGCTTTAGTGTTTTCTTTGACTGATGAATGTATTTCTTCTACTGTATCTTCAACGCTAGAGATCCTCTCTTCCATCTCTTGCATTCTGTTGATTATACTTGCATCTGAAGTTCCCAATCGTTTTCTCAGATTTTCTATTTCCAGCATTCCCTCTGTTTGTGTCTTCTTCATTTTTTCTATTTCCCTTTTCAGGTCTTGGACTGTTTCCTTCATTTGTTTCATTGATTTTTCTTGATTTTCTCTCAGTATTTTATTGTTTTCTTCCAGGACTTTATTGATTTCTTCTAATTTGTTTGCCCTTTCCTCTAGTTGTTTACAGCGTTCTTCACATTTTTTTGTCTTTTCCTCTACGCAAGCCTCTAGCTTCTTCATGATGTCATTCATAAGGCTGTTTTCTTCTGCTTCTTCCAATTTCTGATGTTCAGGTCTAGGTGTTGGAGGAGGGCTAGGGCCTGGTGATGCTGTATTGCTATTCATTTTGTTGTATATGTTTCTGCCTTGACGTCTGCCCATCTCCTTGTGGTTCGTTACTGGCCTTATCCGCACACTTGGTTCAGACAGACCAGTGTTCCAAAAGGGAAGTCCGGAGCAAGATGGGAGCTGGGGGCCGGCCTCTATGTCTCAGGAAGAGGCTTGGGGCTCAGGCGGATGGGCGTGGGGGCAGGGCGTGGAGACTGCAGGGCCTGCCAGGGGTCTTGGAGAAGGGGATCCTTCCCGGTGGGGCTAGCAGGGAACCTGCCGGGTGGCCAGAACCTGGGGCCAAGTTGGGCAGGTCTTCCCTGGAGTGGCTGGTGCCCAGGGATGGGGTCTGGGGCAAGGAAGGGCACTCACCAGTTTTCCAAAAGGGAAGTCTGGAGCAAGATGGGAGCTGGGGGCCGGCCTCTAAGTCTCAGGAAGAGGCTTGGGGCTCAGGGGGATGGGCATGGGGGCAGGGCGTGGAGACTGCAGGGCCTGCCAGGGGTCTTGGAGAAGGGGATCCTTCCCGGTGGGGCTAGCAGGGAACCTGCCCGGTGGCCAGAACCTGGGGCCAAGTTAGGCAGGTCTTCCCTGGAGTGGCTGGTGCCCAGGGATGGGGTCTGGGGCAAGGAAGGGCACTCACCAGTTTTCCAAAAGGGAAGTCCGGAGCAAGATGGGAGCTGGGGGCCGGCCTCTAAGTCTCAGGAAGAGGCTTGGGGCTCAGGCGGATGGCGTGGGGGCAGGGTGTGAAGACTGCAGGGCCTGCCAGGGGTCTTGGAGAAGGGGATCCTTCCCGGTGGGGCTAGCAGGGAACCTGCCGGGTGGCCAGAACCTGGGGCCAAGTTGGGCAGGTCTTCCCTGGAGTGGCTGGTGCCCAGGGATGGGGTCCGGGGCAAGGAAGGGCACTCACCAGTTTTCCAAAAGGGAAGTCCGGAGCAAGATGGGAGCTGGGGGCCAGCCTCTAAGTCTCAGGAAGAGGCTTGGGGCTCAGGGGGATGGGAGTGGGGGCAGGGCGTGGAGACTGCAGGGTCTGCCAGGGGTCTTGGAGAAGGGGATCCTTCCCGGTGGGGCTAGCAGGGAACCTGCCCGGTGGCCAGAACCTGGGGCCAAGTTGGGCAGGTCTTCCCTGGAGTGGCTGGTGCCCAGGGATGGGGTCTGGGGCAAGGAAGGGTACTCACCAGTTTTCCAAAAGGGAAGTCTCGATAATTTCATTTTTTTCTTCCCTCCAACTTCTTTTATGTCTGTCCTCCCTCACTACTCAAATCATGGTCTCCTATTCTTTAATTATTATTGTTTTACACACACACACACACACACACACACACACACACACACACACACACACTGCTGAGTTCATTTAGTGTTGTTTATGTGATGTATTTAGGGTTCACTTCTTGGGATTTAATAACTTATCAGAGTTCTCGTTCCTGGAGAAAACTCATTCTCCCTTTCTCAGCAACTGCCACTGCCTGAATCTCTTCATTCTAGCGATAAAGCCTTGTGAGAATTTAATCCATCCACACTGGCATGCCAACTGGTGGTGTCATTTTGTAGGTCTTGCTTAGGCAATATTGCTGTGAATTCCTGATTGAAGGTTCCCTGCTATATACAGAAGAGACTATGCCACAGCAGATGAGCTATGCTGGTCTTCTTGCTTGCCCAGTCTGTGTACTCCATCTTCCTGTTCCCAGAGGACTGGGTTCAGGGGTTGTTTTGCAGATGTATCAGACGAGGATAGGAACCTCACAGACAGTTATTATCTGCATTTTAACCAGATGTGGCTTTCTATAGTAGCTTCTGTCTGCTCAAAAAAGAAACTTCTTTGATGAGGAGTGAGTATTACACTTATCCCTAGGTATAAGGATATGCATCTAGAATACAGTTGTAAACTACTATACTGCTTTAGGAAAATGGCAATAGTAAGTTCTCCTCTAAGGTCCATGACATCACTAACCAGGGATAGTTGTCTAGGTTTACAATACCCAGTATGAATCCTCTTCTATTGAAAGTTCCTCAAGTCCAATTAGACAGCTGTCGGTTACATCCAGATATAAGTGCCACTATTGTACCTTTCAGAGTATCTTGCCATTAATGTCATTGTTGTTCATAGACTTCACAGCTGAGTTGGACTATTGACTGTTTTTCTCCGTTGGCAGCTTGCATGGCTTGTTCTGCTACTATGACAGTGAATCATCTAGAAGGATATTACCAGATCATTTCCAGCTCAATTTCTCCAAGTCCTGTGTCCAACATTTATCTTCAGCATATACAGTATTAACAAGTTCTTGGAAGCAAGCAAAAGCAACATCAATAGCTTATATTGCTTTGAGTCTTTTGGCTGTCCCTAATCAATAACTTGAAAGGACATTTCTCATACCTAGTACTGGGGCTTTTACTAAATAGTCAATGACTCTTGGGGGAACATTGTCACCCCAAGTGGTACAAGTATACATATATAGATATACATTCATGTATATTTAATTAAACATAAAACAATATGTGGCTTATATGGTGCAAAGTATTCATGTTATATGTTCAAAACAAGGTTGCAGTGATGTCCTGAGCTGCAGCACAGGTTAGTGCTTCCAGAAACATCTTGGATTCGCTCTGGGCCTGACTTTTGGGGATGTGGGGTACAATTTAAGAAGCCATAGCTTAAGGAACAGCTCCCTTTTAGTATTATATATTTTTGCAGATTTGGGCAGTTTGCTATAAGATACACTAGTATTGGAGGTCCACAGAGACACACACGGTATAGAGAAATGGCCACAACATATATGGTATCCAGAAATGCTCATGTGATAATTTCTGCAAAATTACCTTAGGTCCCTTGTCTGACAGAAACCTTAATTTTTAAGCAAAAGAATACATTCCATCTCCTGTCTTGGACAGAAAGCACCAGGCTTCTAGGAAGATGACATTATTAGAGAAGAGGAGTGGCTTGTGGGGGATGGGATGTTCCATTTGTCACTGGAGATGGAAGCTGGGTGGGAAGAACTTGGAGATAACAGTTATACATCAGATAGAAACAAGATGTTTGAAAGTAAGTACAAAAGTAAGATTTAGAATTGTAGCTAGAGTTTTCCTGCCTGGCCCACAGTCAGGACAAATCTCTCTCACCTGCCAGGCCCACAGCCATTCAGACCCGACCAAGTAAACACAGAGACTTATATTGGTTACAAACTGTATGGCTGTGGCAGGCTTCTTGCTAACTGTTCTTACAGCTTAAATTAATCCATTTCCATTAATCTATACCTTGCCACATGGCTCGTGGTTTACCGGCATCTTCACATGCTGTTTGTCATCGTGGAGGCTGGCAGTGTCTCTCTGACTCAGCCTTCCACTTCCCAGCTTTATTCTCCTCCTTGTCCTGCCTATACTTCCTGCCTAGCCACTGGCCAATCAGTGATTTATTTACTGACCAATAAGCAACACACTTGACATACAGACCATCCCACAGCATAGAATCTTTATTAAGTTTATTTACTTTGTTAAGTTACTATTTGAACAGGGATTCTGGCTTCTCTGAATGCCCCCTTCTTCTCTTGAGAAGTAGAGATGGCAGCACATACCTTGAGGGGGCATTATGAGAAATCAAGCAATTGCATTCCACTTAGCATGCTTTCAGCCTTTACTGGATGACACCTAAGTATTAGAGAGAGAGACAGAGATGGGGGAGAACATAAACAGTTTTTACTGGAGTAATACATGCCAATGCACAATGAAAATTCAAAAGCAGGAAATGTACTGGCAATGGGAAGGTAGGGAAGGTATCTTAGGATTCTGTTCCATGTGGTGTTTGGTGAGGGATGCACACGCACCCAGGTGGAGGCCAAAGGGAAACTGGGTGTATTTATCAGGAACATCATCTATCTTACTTTGTTGTGACATGGTCTCTCACTGAAGCCTGAACTGACTGGCCAGCAAGCTCTGCTGTCTCCCCCAGCAGCAGTGGTTATAGATAAGGGCCTTGACTGCCCACTTTAGATTTTGGGGATCGGAACTCAGGTCCTTATGCTTTCTCTTTACCAAGTGAACTATCTCTCCAGTTCCCTTCTCAAGAACTTCTTATTTTTATTTATTTCGTATTTCTTTCTTATTTATTGTGTATGTGTTTTTATGTGAGTGTGTGTGCTTGTGTGTGTGTGTGTGTGTGTGTGTGTGTGTGTGTGTGTGTGTGTGTGTGTAGCCATAAGCTTACATACCATAGCGCTCACATGGAGGTCAAAGGACAGCCTGCAGGAGTCAATCTTCTCCTTCCATCAAGTGGGTTCCAGGAATTAATCTCAGGTCATCAGTCCTGGTGGCAATCATCCATACCTGATGAACCATCATATTAGCCCTTCAGGAATTTTTGTTGTTGTTTCTTCAAGACAAAGTTTCTCTGTGTAGCTCTGACTGTCTTGGAACTTGGGACCAGGCTGCCCATGAACTCAAGAGATCTGCCTGCCTCTGCCTCCTAAGTTCTGGGATTAAAGACAAGCACCATCATGCCCAGCTTCCTCAGAAATTTTAGTAACTTGATCTTTATATAGAAGAGTGAGGGAGAGGAGTGCATGATTAGTGTAAGAGAGAGACACATGTAATAGGAACACAATTTAGCATGCTGCCTTTAAATATGGTCAGACAGAAGACACAGTCTAAGGATAAATCAACGAAGTTTGCATCAAGAATACTGCAGAAAGTCTGCATAGCTGAAATGAAATGTGTCCAAGGCCCTCAGAGATGATGGAAGCAGTGACCACCTTACACCTCTGCATTTTTCTGCAAAAACAATTCTTTTCCTTTCATTTTCTTCTCAACTTGTCAGAACCACCATCTCTCAAGGGCATCTTGGCTAGGAGGAAGGCTTTGGCTTTTGAATGGGCATAAATAAGATGATTTGTGGCAACCTGTTACCAGCCAGGAAGGCATTTCTTTATCATGCTCTCCCAAGATAAGACAAAAGACTGCATGGAGAATCCTTGTCCTCCCAAATAAAATGTCATTTCCATGCAAATTAGCATGAAAAAAGCTGCTAAAAACCAATCACCTGAGAAGAAGAATTATGGTTGGTGGTGAATTCATGTCTGGAAAATGAAAACGTGAACCTGGGTGTATACTGTTTTGAAGAACTAGGTGTGTTTCTTTACCAGTAGATGTCACTGCAGGCATTACACACAGCCTATTTCTAAGAAACTTTCTCCTATGAATGTTGCTATAATTTAATTGGTAGAACACAGTTATGATAGGCATAAAGGGTATTTATTCTGAAAAGCAATATATTTTATCATGGTCATGAACTTGTTAAAACATTGGCTTAAGGAAGCCAACGTGTATGCTTTAAATGGGCTTAATACAATATACAGCATAAGTAATAGACACTTAAGAGGTTTTAAATATATACAGTGGGTTTTCCTGGATGTGATAAGGTTTGCTTTTCAGCATTATTCTATAGAATCAAATTCATAGGAAGAATTTAATGAGAATTCACAGACGTGACTTCTACTCTTTGTACAATTGGCATTTTATTCCTTCAAACATCCTTGAAAGTTTTCTTAGAGAAAGAAAGCTCTTTAGCTGACATGTTATCCGCTATCCTATTTCGACTTTCTCTGGCCTCTTAAGCATATACTGTCCTATATCAGGAAGTGAAATCACTAAGTCTTTTAGAAAAGTACACTTTAATAGTGTCTGGGGGAATTTATGCAGAGAAGCTCTGGCCGCACTGAAACAGATCTCTGCTCCCTTTCTCTTGCGGTCTCAGAGCTGACTCCTTAGTGCAGTTGAGTTGGCAAGGTTGAGTTAAACTGTTGTGTGAAGGGTTTTTTCTATAAATCCCTCCACTTTTTAATCCATGTGCTCTTTGGAGGTGGTTCTTACTCATGCATACTTCAAGGGCAAGGTGTGTGAATGTGCAGCCAGCCACTCTGAGACTTCCCTACACGAGAAGTCCAAGTTTAATGTGGTTAGAGGGAAGTCTAATTACCTAAGATGTTCAATGATGAACTCAATATTTTTTAACAATAAATTAAAAGTTGATTTCAGTTTTCAAACCAGAAACTTCACATATTATACACCTGACCCCATGCAGGTTGTTCCGGTCAGGCCTACCTCCACTGAGTTCATCAAGAAAGAGGAGAAAACACAAAAAAACTTGAGTTTATCATCTCCCAAACACTGAATTAATTTGGAAATATGTTACTTTCTTTTCTACTTCATATCAGTAAGCTCAGAGCTTTGTGAGTCCCTTCCCTTGCCTTTGCCTGCAAATCCTGAGGGTCTTTTTTATGATTAATTTTTTCATATATTTTGATCGTGGTTTTCCTCCTCTCATGACTCAGATGATCCCACATCCCTACTCACTCACCTTTATGTTCTCTGTCTCTCTCTCTCAACAAGAACAACAACAAAAAAAAAAACACCAAAAAACGAAACCCACAAAAACCACAAAAGTAAAAATACAAACAAGCAAAAGTCAGTGAGACAAAAAATGCCAAATCAAAATAAAATGAAATGAAAAGCCACATACAACAACACACACAAAAACACAGCAATAACAAATCCACAGAGTTTGTTTTATGTTGCCTACTACTCTTGGGCATAGGGCCTGTACTGGAGGGTGGCCCATATACCCAGTGACACTCCATTGGAGAAAACTGATTTCCCCTTTTTCCAGTGAGTATTAGTTGCAAGTAGCTTTTTGTTTAGGGGTGGGATCTTGTGCCCATTTCCCCTACTCAGTGCTAGGACCCTGTCTGGTTTGAATCGGAGCAGGTTTTGTACATACTGCTACTGTTTCTGTGAGTTGTGAGGGTCTTTTTGAAGTTTGCATCCCCGAGCCACTGTGACATGGCCAAGAACAGAGTTTCTCCCAAGAAATCGTATTATTGACAAAAATATCAGTCTTGAGAAATAGTCACCAAGCACATTCTTATAAGCACAAAGCAATAGGTTTTCACTGACTGTACAATGTAGATGCTCTTCTTCACAAAGCCCCCACTGTAGATCCCACAGTGGGGACGTAACAATGACAAAGACTTACATTTGTCAACTGCATGGCATGACTTGTTTTGTGGAGCAACATTTATACATGAAGTCCAGGGCATACTAGTTGATGAAGGTTGGTTTAGCAGACATTTCAAACCCTAGACTTGTGTTAAAATAGACCATCAACTGTTATACTTCAACCACAGTGGCTAGAACCATTCCTTTGCGTTAACTCATTTTTGTTAGAATGCCTTTGGCTTTTGTTAGAGACCAGTATCCAAAAGGGGTTGTTAGCCATTTACTGTTTGGAGAGTGAGGCTATTACTGAGCATGATAGCTAGGCTTCACAGTTCTCCAAATTTCAGTCATTGAAATGATTATGGCCTGCTTTCTTTCTTCTTCTTTTGAGGTCTTTAGAGTTCTTTATTTTTGGGATAGGGAATCATTTCATAATCATATTTCCTTCTCCTTCTACAGTCCTCCAACTTTGGCTCCCTGAAGGCACAGAGCCAAAGTGATGGTCTGAGAGTAATGGTTTTCATTTTTTTTAACAGCTTCTCTATTAAACTTTGTTGGCTTGCTTTCATTCTCGTATACTTCTGCTCTAATATTCTACATGTTTTATATGGGACTTGTGGGGCAAGGTAAAGAGGCATTTAAATAAACCAAAATGTGTAAAAATAAATAATATATTTCTAGAATAGCATCATACCCTGCCTAAAATCTACATAGCTAACTATATTCTATACCTATAGTTTACATTAAGATGTGAGATAGAAATACCACCCTGCTCACTTAAGTGGAGAGAAAGCAACACTAATATCCTACCACCACACCATATTTTTTTACACTCTGTAGCAGCACAATGCTTAAAATTTGAGTTGTAGCTGTACTGGGGTGGTGAAACTCACTGAGTTATGTATTTTATTTTCACTTAGTCTGAAACTCACAATTCATCTCCTAATTCACTGCAAGAGCACAGGTTAAGCTAGTAAGGAAGCTGGACGGGAAACGGTAATCACTTGTCAGCATGCAGGAAGTAGACACAAATATTTTCTATTAAGACTCAAGTCAAGGAAATAATGATTGATTAGAACTAGAACTCAAGGCATCTTTGAGTTATAAAAGCAAAGACTATTGTTTTACCAGAAAGGATTCTCTTTCCCATGGATAGAATATGGCTTGTTTGTAGACTGGGAGAACCATTTGAATAGGGGAGATGAAGGAAGGCCAGAGGAGAGAAGAAGAAACAGACCTTGAGTTAGGTTAGGGGAAAATGACTCACTGAACTCCATTTCAGAATCATGGTTTTGCTATTTGATTTTGGACTCAGGATATTTTGGCAAAATACAGTAAAGCTAAGACAGGAAATTAGTCCCCATTTATAAAATATTTGGATGAGTTTGTAAATGGGAAAGATATCATTAAAATAGAGGGAAAATTCCTTTCATTTTAATAAGAAAATGAGTAGAAAGAATGATGGCTAAGTAATGTCTTAAAATTCAATCTTCCTTCCATATTTATGGCTCCATTGACACACTGTATAATTGATTGATAGGAATTTTCATTCCAAAGTAGGATTTATATGTTGCCTCTAATCCCAATACTATTATGCAATCAGTTTCTATTTTTTTTGCCTTTATTTTACAAATTCCCTGAAAAAAATTTAACCAAGTCCATAAAGATTTCTTCGGGAAAGATAAAACTTAGGAAAAAAAGCCACAAACATTCAAAATAATATTCGTGACGAAGAGAAAAAGAATACTATTTGTGAAGACTTCAGAATTTCTTCTCTGCATGCCCTAACTTGTTTCCTAGACGAAGTGCTGTCAAATACAGACAAAAGCCCATATTTGCTGCTTAGAATTAGTTATCAAATGGATCCTAGAGAAGCACATTGTTTTAAATATGAGTTTGGCTTGAAAAATGCTTACCCCTTTGATATCCGGATGGGTTTAGTCATTACAATTTGTCATCTCGGAGACACAAACACTCATTTGATTTGGAAGCTGTGCTGTTCCTAAATGACCAAGAGAAACTTTATGCTTTGTAAATGAAAAAGTGGAATTTACTCTAATGAAGTGACTGAAACACAGTCACTCACTGAGTCTGTGACAGACTTAAGTTAGAGTCCATCTGTCTCTCTCAGTCTCACATTCTCCTCTCAACTCTGGGGTAATTACATTTTTAAATGCTCGTGTGTCCACAACATGAGAATTAACCATCAGGTGGTTGTAATAAGATACTGGATCTGGAATTTGACTTTTCTCTTCCTAGTTATGCAACCTGGGGAAGAATCACTTGAGTTTCCCCTGTTTCATCTCTTCATTAAGTTCTTA